CTACACCCCGCGCTCTTCAAAGAAGGTAGCGAGGTATTCTTGAATAGTCTGACCACTGTACTGCAGAATATTTGAAACGAAAACGGAATACCAGCCGAATGATGCTCCTCGACTGTCATTCCAGTTTTCAAAAAGGTAGCAAGAACGTCATGCGAAAACTATCGTGATGTCAGCCTGATATATGTCGCATCTAAGATGCTCTCTGGCATTATTTTGGGCAGACTGATGGACAATCGGGAGCGACAGATTCGTGAGAATCAAGCGCGGTTTCGTACAGGTCGAGGAGTTATCGACCATATCTTCACCTTGAGACAAAAATCTTGAACAGCGCCCTGGTACCCAGGCAGGTGGTTTCCTTGGGATACCCCATCTTGATCCTTTGGCTTATGAGAAAATGGGAGTGTAGGGTTTTATTCCGGGGCCCTAATCAGTCTTTGAGTCAGAAGTTGGATCCACAAGGAAATCCTGTTCGGAGCCACTGACTCACTAGTGTGAACCCAGTTGGTTACAAAGGACCGGTCTATCCTGAGAAGGCTAAGCAGTCAAGACCGACCATGAATCAGGAATAACCTCACTATTCCACTATGGTTTACCGCAGCGGACAGTCACATAAGGGAATTTACTGAATCGAAGAGGTTAAAAAACAACCATCCCTCTACTAGCTGATCGGTTTACTTGAAAGGTTACAAGTGCTCGCAAACACATGGCGGCCTTCATGAAAGACAGCCAAAGACACGCTCTATAAGATACTCCAGAATACAATAGCATGCTGGGTTTTATATGCAAAACTAACGGTCAGAACTAGTAAAGAAAAACATACCAGAGATAAGACATCATTATACAGATCCATCGCCAGGTCCTGAGTCATGAAGCATGACAACCCAGATAGTGCCACCCCGGCATCGTACATATTTGCGCTGCACAAGTCCTAAAGATCGTGTAAGTGCACGAATAGCAGACATGCCTTGCGAATTAGATTGGTGGCCAGTAATAACACATCTGAACCAGGACGAAAACTTTGAGAAGCGGACAGATAGCCGATACGCTGCAAATAATCACGCAATAAAAATATGACACTTACTTTGAACGTGAATTTTGGGGAGCTCATGACTTCCACCGTATTAAACATGGCCCAGCTGATATCATATCCGAGCATTTGTAACTAAAAAATAAGCCTATAAAAAACACTGCTGTTTACATATATGAGCTTTGATACAGCATTGGATTTTGAAGGAAACGAGCCCTGCTTAAGCTCGTTCTTTATTTCTTCTAAGCATTCGCTTATGTATTTCACCTGCTATAATAAGAATAGCATGACGGACGTCGTACCTCATCGTTTTTGTGATTTCTGATACCTCGGACAAGATCCTGCATATTTTTGTCCAACACACGTTCAATCGTGCCCCTGACAGCCAGGAGTGCCATCCTCAGTGGCTGCAGAGGTCTTCCGGCAGGTAGACGACACCTCAACTAATGCGTGAGTGCGATCAAGGTCAGTTCGCTTAGCTGAGCTGGGCGTTTTGGTTGCAAGTATGATAGTAGGTGCTTGATTTGTGTTGAAATGCGCTGAGGCTCAAAGTACAATTGTAATCGAATCGCAGTTATGTTTTCACAAAGTGCTTACCACCAAAATGCCCAGCTCCGTGATCAAAACAACGGCCATCATTGTTAAATCAGCGTCTGCTATTCCCTCACCTTTTAAAGCAACACAGGCTTACGTGTGAGCATGAGGCTGGTAGGGTTTAGAATAAGATCCGAAGCTAGTGGATACTGTTTGCAGTTACCGGAACGTTAGCAATAGTAGAGGATCAGGTGTCCCATATCGTTGCGCGGTACGTTCGAATTCGGTTTCGTATTTCCCTCGTGTAAATTCGTGAAAGAATTTTTCCGTTGTTCAATATAGTAACAGAGTGCAAATGAGTAATTGTTGAATTTTATTACTCTAACAAAACATTTGAGAGATAACCCTTGATATTTTGTGCACATTTCTTATTTTACATCTAGTCCGAAACATGACATCAATATATACCGATTGCCCTCTGCAGCCATTGAAAAACCACAACAGATGTGGGCGAAATGGCTGTCCGATGTGCGGGGACAAGAAGCGAAGCCAATCTCCAGCTCCACTCCGTCAAAAGCGGCCTCTCTGCTTGTGGACACAACCGTCGCCCAGGACCCCGACAACCAAAGCCATAAACATGAATACAGCCATCCGGAAAATCCCTCGTACACCCAGTTGGCCACGCCGATCGCCAGCGGATAGGGTGTCTACACAAACACGAAAGAAGAGCGACTGCAGCCAGAAAAGCCACATAAAACTCGCCAGATCAGAAAATTGCTGGCTGGCTTCAAGCTGAAGTCCTCCGCGAAAATGAGCCTGTTGGGAGTGCCACCAAAATCATTAATTCTTTGTGCCGCCACCCAGTGCCCAGGGCCTCACAGAGACACTCTACCGGTCAAATCGCGTCAAAACCCTCAAGAATCCAGGAAGGCGAAAGCTTGTCGCAAATGTTTGATCAACCGCAAATCTGGTCACCAAAATGGATGTGCTGAAAGATCCACAAACAGCAACGGTCAAAATTTTCGACTACGGGGAAAAAGACTTCGTCCCCCAAAGCCAAAATTTCTGAGTAAACCGGTCCTCGTAAGCGAAAAGCACACCCTGAAACCACGAAGACAGGAAGCAGACGACATCGCCCCACAAGCCCTTTCGGAGCCTTGGGCTCAACCTCGGTGGACAACTATTAAGTCTGCTAACCACCCTGGTCACTCAACTTTCGGCTCCTCACCCTCGGAGGCAGAAGAGACAGTGTTGAAATGCTTGTCCACAAACTGCCTTAGCCTTTTCAACAAACTCGGCCATCATAAACAGCCAGCTTACCCTGAACAACCGTCCATAATCGCACTCAGAGAGACCTGG